CAAAGAAAAAGAGATCTGTTTCCTGCTTCAGACTGGAACACACCCACGCTCTTAGAAAGGGGCTAAGAGGTGACTGCTTAACAGTTTTTAAAGTTTCTAATAACACAGTTGAAACTTTTGGAAAGCAGATATAGCAAACTCCAAGGATATTATTTGATTTTATTTTAAGCTTTTAGTAAGAAAAATAAATGAGTACAGATGCCTAGTGTGTTTTGTCTGCTGTGATAATGCGCCCTATCATTAAATCTGTCTAAGCGGCCAGTTCTTTTCCTGTTGTCTGAAATTAAACACATCGAGTTCTACAGGGTAGACATCTCGGTTTATAGAGTACATGGGCATTAAAGTAAAATAAGGAAATTGCAATAAACTGATTAATTTTAGGGTTTTTTTTAGACTTTTTAAATTATTTTCATTGGAAAGTCAGATATACAGAGAGAAAGATCTTCACTCTGGTGATTCATTCCCCAAGTGGCTACAATTGCTGGAGCTGAGCTGATCTAAAACCAGGAACCCATAGCTTCTTCTGGGTCTCTCTCCCACACGGGTGCAGGGTCCCAAGGCTTTGGGTCATCCTCCACTGCTTTCCCAGGCCACAAGCAGGAAGCTGGATGGGAAGCGGGGCCCCCAAGTTAGAACCAGTGCCCATCTGGGATCCTGGCGTGTGCAAGGCAAGGACTTTAGCCACTAGGCTACTGCACCAGGCCCAATTTTATTTGTTTTGTTTTGTTTAAGATTTATTTGTTTTTATTGGAAAGTCAGATTTATAGCAAGAAGGAGAGACAGAGATTTGCTATGGACTGGTTCACTCCCCATGTAGCCACAACAGCTGGAACTGAGTCTATTCGAAACCAGAAGCTTCTTGTAGGTCTCTCCCATGGGTGCAGGGTCCCAAGGCTTTGGGCTAGCCTTCACTCCTTTCCTAGGCCACAAGCAGAAAGCTAGAAGGGAAGTGCAGCAGCTGGGATACAGCACTCATATGGGATCCTGGAACATGCAAAGCAAGGACTTCAGCCACTAGGTTACTTAATTTTATTACTGAACTTCCCAAAAGACTCAAATTCAAAATCAGCTAAAATCTCTTATTAATTATCTGAAATACAATTACAGTATTAAAACTCAGCCTTTACACTTTTGAGTTTAGATATTTGGTGTTTAAATTGACCAAGGATATAAATTATAGTGGTGTCACAGCTAGTCGCTCACAGTATGGCAGCCAACCTCCAGGTCTACTCCCCCCCCCCCCCCGCCCATACACCCTTAGATAGCCCTCCTCCCACATTCACCCCGTTTACTCTTTGTAACCAGGAAAGTGTCTCAGAAGCAGTGAGTGGTACGTTGAATTGCTAGAAGGCACCGGGGGTGGGGTGTAATGGGATATCTACATCCCATATCTGAGTGCCAGTTTGGGTCCCAGCTGCTCAGTGTCCAGTCCAGCTCCCTGCTAGTTCATGCAGGAAGGTCTTGGATGAGGCTCAAGTACATGGGAAGCCCAGGTGGAGTTTTTGGCTTTGGCCTAGCCTGGCCCAGTTGTTGATGACTTTGGGGAAGTGAGCAAATGGATGGAAGATGTCTGTCTTTCTGCCTTTCAAGTAAGCAGGTTAATTAAACAAATAGTTTAAAACAAAAAAACTGGGACTTTCATCTTAAGGGTCTTTCTTTCTCCCCCTTTCCCTCCCCTCCACCCCCTACCCTCTTGCCTTCCTCCTCTCCTCCTCCAGTCTTCCTTATTTGCTGCGTGGGAAGCTGGCATTTGCAGGGAGCCAAGACCTTTGCCAGTAGCTACGTGAGCAAGTCCAGGAATGGACCCCCACGCCCCCGGCATGGCTTCCCCATAGCTTCCCTGATGTCGCCGCACCAGCAGTGTGATTACAGCCTAATGAGACCCAGAGCCAGAGACGCCCGCCCAGGCCCCTCCTAGATATCTGACCCCCCAAACTGTGGCATTAAACAGTGGGTGTTATTTGAGCTGCTAGATTAGTATGGGAATACATAACCAATATACATTTCTATTAAAGCTGTTTTCATTCTTCAGATGTTAACCTCTGGTTTTGGTTATTGTTGCTATTTGCACTGTTAAACCTGTTAATCCACAGCTTGCCTGAGTCATTAGTTGTTGAAAAATATGGCATTCCATCTCCCATTTGCCACAGTACTTGTTGAAGTGCAGACTTAGAGTTAACTCTTCCTATATTTGACCTGATATTAGGATGTCAATGCTTAGAAGAACGGCTGTGTGACAGGAGCCTTTTTTAGATTAGTGCACAGATCCTTTTCATTTCAGGCGAAGCCCTGCATTGACCTTGTAATCACCTGCGAGTGCCCAGGGAATTACTTTGAAGTACTTCCAGGGAAGACCGACAGCCTACTACTAGGCGAAAGGCACACCACAGAAGCTTCCTATCTGTCCCTCATAATGCTGCGACACTTATTAATAACACAAGCTAATCACAGTGTGGGCTTTTAAAAGTCGTATTTCACTTAGTTAGCAGTACACTCAACCTGAGAAGCAGCCCAGACCCAACTCCCACTCCCCCAGCCTGCTGTCCTCAGGGTGTTCAAATGTATGTTTTCCAATTTTTTTGCCTTATTAAAATAATTTCTGTAACAGTAATAATTTCCTTTGCCATCATTAGCCACTCAGAAATGGTCATCAAGGATAATAAATGAAAGTATTTCAGTTACTAAATGAAGGTTTTTATTTCTTCTTGCTTCCTTTTCTTAAGTAATTCTCTAAACCTAGATTTGTCTTAGAACATTAGTGGCTACATGTGGCCTGGAAAAGCAGTCAAGGATGGCCCAGAGCCTTGGGACCCTGCGCCCACAGGGGAGACCCGGAAGAGGCTTTTGGGATCTTAGCTTTGGATCAGCTCAGCTGCGGCTGTTGCGGTCTCTTGGGCAGTGAATCAACGGATAGAAGATTTTCCTCTCTGTCTCTTCTCCTCTTGTATATCTGACTATCCAATAAAAATAAAATGAATCTTTAAAAAAGAAAAAAGAAGAACATTAGTGGCTACAACCAAATATTTTCAGGGAGTCCTGTGTATTCCTCATGTTTGCATGCACAGTGATTTCATTGCTCGGGTCCCAGCTTCGTGCCACCAGGCCAGAGGCTGTGGGTGACTCATGTTTCCAGCCGAGGACGACTCACGTGGTCTCCAGTCGATGAATTCAGCTCTGTAGGAATCAGAGCAAATTTAGCACCGTTATCCTTTCTGTTCTTTATGAAGAGCAACGGCTTACTTATGGAGAAAAGAGCCGCAAGAAGACCCAGAAGCAAGACCTTGGACTTGAAGATTCTCAAAATTCACTTTGCTCAGTCCCTCAGGATCACGCCAGTGGGAGAGGGATTTGGCCCTTTGTGGCCGCTATGTCAACCTGCTCCTTCCCAGAGCCAGGTGGGGACGCTGCAGCCCCAGGCCACAGCTGAGCAGGACAATCCCCTCCCGCCCCGGCCAACCCTGGAGCATGCGTGCCCCCCTTGATGCCCCTGGAAATGCAGCCAGAAAAGAAGACCCCCCCCCCCCACTACACACAACACACTCATCTCTCTTTCTCTCTCTCTGCCATATACTGTAGAGAGAGGAACACACACTTTAATTCACACACACCCGTAGTAAGGTTAGAGAGATGGCTGTCAGAGAAACAGGTCTCTTCATATTTCCAATGTACACGTATCATCCGGATCCCAGAGTGGTTGTTGTCAAGCCAGAGGCAAAAGCCAGAGCCACTGCTCCTGCTTTCAACATCTGCCCCCAACACCAACACACATTTGCAGCGGAAGTCCAGGCAGTTCCTGGAGCCTAACCTTGGACGTCAGTGGAAGAAGGCAGCAGATATTCAACATTGAAGCATACCTCTGCGTAAACTCCATGTCTGCTTTATGTTAGTGAATGTTTTTAAGTTGAAGCATAGCCGTGAGATTGTATCTTTTTCATATGGACTCCTCTATCTGTTTGGCAGTGGAAAAAAAAAGCACAACTTCCACCGAAATCCATCAGTTATTTACATAAACAGATTCAACTTGAAAACTTAAAATTGCGTCTTTCCTTTTTCAAAAAGTTTTCCCCAGCCCTTTGGTAACACTTTGTTTTTGCTTATACAAAATGTCTGGAAGCTTTTTTATGTCTGTAGTAGCCATTAGTGTCACTCTGTTTGTCTGCATGTAGTATATGATGTTCGTGCGAAGTTGTACTTCAGGCTCCTAGCAGAGTTTTAAAACGTGTGAAGCCCACCCTCTGATCTTGTCACCTCTGAGCAGGCTCACACGCCTTGTCCGCATCCAGTTCTCATCTTCTCCCCCTCAAGGCCTACCAAGTCCTGTTGCCAACAGAAAGGAGGGCGAGAGGCAGCAACTAGAGAGACGTAGGAGAGGGTGGGATCTGGCAAGAGACGGGAGGGTTTTGTCTGTACAGCTCTGGTCGTAGTGCTTCCAGCCTCACAGGCCAACCAGAGTGAAGTTTGCTGGGTACAAATTATAACTGGTTCTGCATTATAATGTGAACAGCCTTGACATGCCTTTGGGCACCTTAACAGGTCTCTAAGTATGTGGACTCAAGAAAGTATTATGTTTAATATATTTTAGAAATGCAAATGTCATAATACAGAAAGAAAAGACGCATGTGCTGGCAGTAGAAGCAGACCTAAGCAGAGGCAGTGAGCATAGTGGCCGAGGATACTGACTTGGGAGCCAGGCTGCTTGGGTTTAAATCCCTGTTCTGACAGCTTGGTATGTGAGTAATCTGGACCATTATTTAACTTCTCTGCAATACTTTTCTCATCTACAAATGACTTTAAATTTGAAATCATCATTAGCTCTCTAGAGATTCGTTTCATGCCACCTTGCTAATGTTGCCTGTGTATATACAGGGTTTGATCTGATTTGTAGTCAGCAGGTTACATTTTTACACAGACCACTCCTTGAATGTTTACCTGCTTGCTACTAAGAAATTCCCTCCTCCGTCATTTTAAAAAAAACACATTTGCTGTTTTCCCTCTCACAGGCCCAACACAGAGACACTTTCATTGAAGAACGTTATGGAAAATATAACATCAGCGATCCTTTAATGGCTCTGCAGAGAGATTTTGAAACACTGAAGGAGAAGAATGATGGGGAGAAGCAGCCGGTCTGCACAAACCCACTGTCCATCCTCAAGATGGTGATAAAGCAGTGCAAGAACATGCAGGAGCGCATGCTGTCCCAGCTGGCTGCTGCCGAGAGCAGGCACCGAAAGGTAGGGCCCCCGGGGGGCAGGGCAAGGCTGACACCCTCCGGCAGCTGCCAGCTTCCTCCTCCTGGGTATGGAAAAGACTCTTGGCTTATGTAGGAGCTAGAAGATACAAAACACAAGTCATTGCAAGTGTTAAATGGAGGGAGCGTGCCAGACACATTCTTTAAGATGACTTTTCTTCTTGATATATCAGTCCAGTGCACCTAATATATTTTCTCAGCCCCTTGATCTTCCAAACTGGGGTTTGGCCAAACTTGAAGCTGAACAGAGTGTTCTCTGTTTGCTTACGTTAGTGATAAATAGAGATTCACAGGTATTTGGGGAATGCTGTATCCCAGAGAAAGAAAGAATTTACCTCAATATAAACTCACAAGCCAAATAGATTATTTTCATTTATTCCTGATTTGGGGTTTCATTGCATTTTACTACTCATGAAGTCATAACAGTCGCTAGGGTTGTTTACCTGAAAACTGTTCTACTCCATTGGGAAGTGGTGTGTGTGTGTTTCCATGTCTGAGGAAAGTAAACTTGTGTTCCCCCCTGCCTCGACTTAATGGAATTCCAGTGCTTGTGATGATATTCCCAAGCTTGTCATTTAGAGCTTAGATTTGACCTGTAAAAGAGGCTTGGCTGGAATCTGCCCTTTTCAAAACCGTTAGTTTAAATGTATCAGTGCATTTTGTTAAGAAACAGATTGGGAAACTTGAGTTAGCAGCTGCAAAATGCTGTGGGCTGTAGTTTACTTTTGTGGTTACCTACGTTGGAGCCACCTGCTTAAGTCACAACAGTTTGTCCATGACTCTTCCTGTCAGAGGCCAAAGGAAAGGCTGTTAACCATGCATGGCCTTCAGACATTCCACAGTCATGAACTGTCAGAGGACTGTGCATCTTTCAGTGGCTTTAATCAGATTCTCAAATTTTCCCAAGGACCCAAAGAAAGTTTATGCTGCAATTGAAAAGAGATCAACACGTTAGAGTTGTTGTCTAAATTTTGTGACCTTTTCTGCAATCCTCTAAGAAAATCCACACAATATCCTTACTCTGTTGGCAGGCTTTATTTCCACTTTATGTAAGAGAGAACTGAGTTATGCGGAGGGGGATGGCTAGTGGTCAGGGCTGTGGAACATGCAGTATTCAGAAGATTTGTAGCACTAGGCGACTTGAGAGAGGAAATTAAAAATAATTCACAATTCCTTGACACAATATTTCAATGTGAAACATTCCTAGTGTTAAATTCTTGAGAGCAAGGACTGGTCTGCTCTTTTCATAAGTGTTCTATCAAAGTAGGTTACCAACTTCACTAGATATCAGATAGCACCTACAGGCATAATTAGGTTGTCCATGGTTCCATTTTTCTCCAAGGGAATCCCCAGTTTAAAACTTTTGCTTTCATTCAGGTACTAACCCTTTTGACTCAGAATTTTTCTGAGTTTAATTTTTTTTTCATTTTTTTTATTTGAATGGCAGAGAGAGAGAGAAAAACAGAGAGCTCTTCCATCAGCTGATTTACTCCCCAAGTGCCTACAGTAGTCATAGCTGGTCATAGCTGGTCATAGCTGGTCTAGGCCAAAGCCAGGAGTCTAGAACTCCATCTGGGTTTCCTGCATGAATGGCAGGGACCCTGGTACTCACACACGCATCGAATGCTTCCCAGGGTATGGACTGGCAGGAGGCTGGACTGGTGCAGAAAGCCAAGGCCCAACCCAGGCACTCTGATAGGGGATATCCGCGTTGGAGGATGTGTACCAGATGCCCACCCCACAACAGTTTTGATTTGAACAGTTACTCTCTGCTTGTAATAATAATAATGAAAAAAACAAAAACAAAAAACACAGAGTTCCCTAGTTTGTTCCTTCCCGCTCTCCATCTTTTCCAAAATGCTTTCCTTTCCACCCCTTGCCACCTTTTCCAAAGAAACCAAATCTCCCTTTTTCATCCCATTCTCTTTCGAGTCCCTGGGCTGTAGGTTCCTGGGTGCTAACACTAGACAAGTATGTGCAAGAATCACAGGCAGAGGACAGACGGTTTTTTCTTTCTTTCTTTTTAAGATGTATTTCTTTTTATTGGAAAGGCAGATATACAGAGAGGAGGAGAGACAGAGAGGAAGATCTTCCATCCGATGGCTCACTCCCAAAGTGGCCACAATGACTGGAGCTGAGCTGATCCGAAGCCAGGAGCCTTTTCCGGGTCTCCCATGCAGGTGCAGGGTCCCAAAGCTTGGGGTTGTCCTGGACTGCTTTTCCAGGCCCCAAGCAGAAGTGGAACTGGCGTGATTAGAACTGGCACCCATATGGGATCCCGGGCGTGCAAGGTGAAGACTTCAACTGCTACGCTATCACGCCGGGACCCAGACGACTTCTAAAACAGACCTTGAATAGTTCCCCAGTTTTCCACCCTGGGGGGGTGGGAAACTAGGTGAGGCTTCTCCCACAATATCCCCCTTTACCTCAGATACATGAAGGAAACGATGTGGAAATAATAGTCTTACCCACTTTCCTGTAGCCCTTGAACCTTTTTATCCTAATTAACTATGTAAAGATTGTCAAAAATATAATAATAAAAAAAAAAAGTTCCCCAGCTTTCCTTCTGACTTTTTACCTTTCCACCACAGCACCTATCAATTCCAAGTTCCATCTCCCTGAGGCTCAGCATGTTACAGTGGCTCAAGCTACAGGAGTCACCATTCCTCCAGTCTTGTGCCTTCTTCAAGTGTTATCAGCATTTCCCACTTGCTAACATCTCGTTCTTTTTATATGTCTTCCCATTACGTTTCTGTAATCTAAAGCAAGAAGAGTGTTGTAGCACAGCAGGCTAAGTACTACTTGGGCTGCCCACAGTCCATATCCCTTATCACTGTGCCTGATTCAAGGCCAGGCTGCTCCGCTTCTGATCCAGCTTCCTGGTAACACCCCTCGGGGGCAGCAGATGATGGCCCGAGTGCTGGGAATCCTCGCTCCGGACCTGGGCCCCAGCCTTGGCCACTGGGGACACTGAGGGAGTGAAGTAGCACATAGAAGATTTCTCTGTCTCTATCTGCCTCTGTCTCTATTACTCTGCCTTTCAAAGAAATATATACATTTTTAAAATCTTAAAAAAAGAGATAGCCCACCACCTTCATCCAAAAGTCAGCTTATTAAATTGAGAAATTAAACCTTTTTTTTTAACCAGAAGTACACCAAAAAATTTTATGTTTAAATTATTATAAAGCAGGAAGACTGTATTAGAGTGGGCCATCAGGGCTCTGCCCTGGAGGTCTGAGCCGAGCCAGCCTGCAGAACAGGCAGAGGCTGCCATTCAGGATATCTTGCAGCCATCAGTAGGGTTATGGGGAAAGCAGCCGTTTAAATTTGTATGCTCTTTAAAACTGGAATTAGACCTTTGGTCCCAGGTTAAGTAGAATAGGGGTAGACAGGTTAAGTCAAAGACCTCATGAAAAGTCTCCACTTAAAATCCTAGTAATCAAGCCATTTTATGTATAAGACAAAGACTCATTTCACCTTTTATCTAGCATACATTAAGAACGCATATTACTACTTAAAACTATTAATTACTCCTCACTGGGGTATTGAAGATTTCTCTGCACTCCCCTCCTAAAACTGTTCACCTAAACTGTTGACATATGCCTTGTTAGAGTTATAGAGTTAGACTACCTGTAAAACAGCCAGGTTCAGCAAAATCATGCTTCAATGCTATAAACTGCTAAATACTAAAATTAAAATAGACATGAGACAGCTGAATAGTAATCTATAGCCATTTTAGGTGTATAGAACCCAGTTGTATATAAACTAATAAGTGAAATGTCAATGTAAAATTCACAGGATGTGGTTCAGAACTTGCATTCTTTTTTTTTTTTTCCTCTTTTAACATATTGGTTACTCAATACCATGTCAACTAATTCCATAACATTATAAATCATTACTGATGTAATGTCGGGGCTTTTAATTGATCGGGATGATACTCTTTCGGCTATACCTTCAGACCAGAGATGGTCTCCCCAAGAAACCATTAAACTTATCTGGACAATAAGATGCTGGACTTTATGCTTGGTAGATGCTTGCAATGAAAGAATCTCAACTGAATTTGAACTGTGGTAATGCAACAAGGTGGAGGAATCCACCGTGGGGGTGGTTTAGGGAGGGGGGCGAATCCCAGTGCCTATAAAACTATGTCACATAATGCAATGTAATCAATAAAAAACAAACAAAGACATCAGCTAAAACCAATAATAGAATGACAAATTAATCATTTCATCCACATACAATAAATATTTATTGATTCAAAAAAAAAAGAATGCATATTACTAATTGAGCGAGACACAGTTAGGATGTCACGTATTTTAAATGCTTAATTTTGGAGTCCTTCTTCGGTGCCTCCAGTGATTTAAGCGTTCTGTGGCCCCATCTTACTCCGTCTCTGACCGTTAGTCACACCACACTGCCTACAGTTTCCTAGGCTTTCTGTCTCAACCTCTACAGCTTACTGATTGCTTACTCTTTTCTCTCTGTTTACATATTATTGTATACTTGCTGAAAGTAAGTATCTTCCTGTTTTCTAGCACATAGTTTGCATATCTCACTCTGCCAGGAAGTGTGATCTTTCATGGTCCTTGGCTGGCTTTCATTGATTTAGTTCATCTCTGGACCTGTATTAGGCACTTAGTTAGGCATTTGTATTGGTTGTATTGTACATGTGACCCTTTCCTGTTTGGAAATAAATTCAAGGTGATCCTAGACCTTGAAGAGGAACGGCAAAGGCACGCACAGGACACAGCTGAAGGAGACGATGTCACCTACATGTTGGAAAAGGAGAGAGAGAGGCTGACTCAACAGGTAAGTAGGGTGGAGTAATCCTGACCACATCCGCCCGGAGTAGCCTTCCTCCAGGATTCTGCAGGATGTAATGGTCCTGCCCAGAGGAAGGCCTCTGTGGTCAAGTCTGAAAACTCTTGGTTAGGCCAATGAACAGGTTCCTAACTGTGGGTGTCAGCATCTGCAGGATACAACAGCTCTCAGGAGTCTTTGTCACATGTCGAGTGCTGAGCAAATCCAGGCTCTCCTATTAACTTCTGGGACAGAGATCCTCCTGTGGTACCTTGCTCCCCAGGACCCACCAAGGAGCACTTAGAGCTGCAGCCCCCAGTCATGGGCACATGCACACACATGCCAGAAGCAATGGTGCATTACCCTGACTGCCTGCAGCACACAGTGAGGTCTTCTGTTTCTGCTATCAGTTCTGACCGCGGCTCACTAAGCTAGTTTCTTCACACACTAATGAGTCCCAGAGATTGAAAAATGGGTGGGTGACAAAAGAGTTTCCTTTAACTCCTTCCCTCTCATCCTTCTCTGTCCCTAAACACGGAAAACAACTGAAACAACCTACATTTGTATAAAAATTAAGATTCAGCCTAACAAATTTTCTTATTTTTAAGGCTAGAGAAAATTACTGCTGAAACTGTAAAACTTGTGGCTTTTGCCACATGCATCACAAAATTTGGTTTGTGTAGCTTTTCTGATGTCTCGATTGGTTCTGGTGCTGGGTACTCCCAACACAATGTTGTATCATACCTCCCACTGAGAACCCCAAGACAACAGAAGAACCCAAAGTGCCTGCTGAGTTACTGGAGAACATCCAGAGAGTGTTCCCCGGAAGCACCTGCTCTGAGCACCAGGACTTCCATGGCACTCTTGTGTATCAGATAACTCTTAGCCCCGTCACTACACCTGATCCCAAATTCACAGTCTCTCTGTTTCCTTGCTCTAATTAGAGTGGTTGTGTTTTTCTCTAGCTGGAATTTGAAAAGTCCCAAGTAAAAAAATTTGAAAAAGAGCAGAAGAAGCTGTCCAGTCAGCTGGAAGAGGAACGCTCGCGCCACAAGCAGCTGTCATCCATGCTGGTGCTCGAGTGCAAGAAAGCCAGCAGCAAGGCCGCCGAGGAGGGCCAGAAGGCCGGAGAGCTGAGCCTGAAGCTGGAGAAGGAGAAGAGCCGGGTGAGCAAGCTGGAGGAAGAGCTGGCGGCCGAGCGGAAGCGGGGCCTTCAGACCGAGGCACAGGTGGAAAAGCAGTTGTCCGAGTTTGACATCGAGAGGGAACAGCTTAGAGCAAAACTGAACCGAGAGGAAAACCGGACCAAAACTCTGAAAGAAGAGATGGAAAGTTTGAAGAAGGTAGTGAAGGACCTGGAGGCCTCCCACCAGCTCCAAGGCCCACAAGGGCAGCTGAAGAAACCAGCAACCATGTCCCAGGGCACAGCAACGGAGCCGCCCATGCTAGTGTCTGTATTTTGCCAAACAGAGAGTTTTCCAGTGGAAAAAATCCACGGGAGCAACTTAGCCAAGGTGACAAGCCCTGGGCTGCCTGTTCCTTCCAGTCCTGCTTACTCTTACGCCAAAGCCAATGGCCACTGTGACCTGGAGACACAGACAGCCAGGGAGCTGAGCACAGGCAGTGGTGCTGAAAACCAAGTGTCCCCACGCGAGAAGTCCTCAGCATCAGCCCAGGAGAGACCAGTGGAGAACGGCGGGTGTCCAGTGGGACCCGAGACCACGGTGCCAGCAGCCACACACCTCCCTTCCAGTGGGAGCTCCCTGTCCCCCAGCAGCACCGCCTCCTCCTCTCTCACATCCTCTCCCTGCTCCTCACCAGTGCTCAGCAAACGCCTGCTGGGCTCGTCAGCCAGCAGCCCCGGCTACCAGACCTCCTACCAAGTAGGGATCAACCAGCGCTTCCACGCAGCTCGACACAAATTTCAGTCCCAAGCCGATCAGGACCAACAAGCCAGTGGGCTCCAGAGCCCTCCATCCAGGGATCTGTCCCCCACCCTCCTGGACAACTTGGCCGCCAAGCAGCTGGCCCGAAACACAGTCACTCAGGTGCTCTCCCGATTCACCAGCCAACAAGGGCCCATCAAGCCTGTCTCTCCCAACAGCTCTCCCTTCGGCACAGACTACCGTAATCTGGCCAGCACTGCCAGTCCCCGAGGCGACAGCAGCCACTCACCTACTCCAGGGAAAGTGTCCAGTCCTCTGAGCCCCCTGTCTCCGGGAATCAAGTCCCCCACCATCCCCAGGGCTGAGAGAGGGAACCCTCCACCCATCCCACCCAAAAAGCCTGGCCTCACCCCTACTGCATCTGCTACTCTTCCACCGACCAAAACTCACCCGCAGGCCTCCTCTCTGGCCACCACAGAAGACCTCGCCAGCAGCTGCGCTGCCAACACCGTGGTGGCCAACGGCAAGGACGTTGATATACTTTTGCCCACCAGCAGCTAGTCCCCAAGGGCAGGTCTCCACATTAGACATTCCGTCCTACTTCATCTGAAAGCTCCAAGTCAGACCATTGAGTCAGAGTATGTATGTTATTTATTTTGATAGTGGCTGAAACCATCTGTATAATACGTTTAGTGGGTTGTACCTTTTTGTATTTTTCTTTTTTAAGTAGAAACCTAGGCGTTTCGATTTTTATGGCTCCCATCTTTGTACTGAAGCTAGAAGGGCACTGAGACGTCTCAAGCTCAGCAGTCGCTGTCAGGTTGTTACGGAGAAAGCTAATCGACTAGCAGGTGGTGATGTGCTGTCTGTTTGGGGACCAGCATCTCTCAACCCTCATTCTTGAATTATGCAGAAGCGGTTTGTGCAGATTTTTATTCCAAATGAACATGTTCTAAAAGTGCCTGAAATATGCCTGCCATATGAATGTGATTTCTGCGGCAAAAACACAAAACGGATCACTGAATTGCAGAGAATGAGATCCTCTGTGAATTCTGAATGTTAAGCACCAACACTGCTTTTAATCCTCTTGTCCTGTGTTTAATACAAGCTTCGTGTTCTGCAGCCAGGCTGTCTCCGCAGAACGGGAACCCCGGAGTTGGGGGTGGCCTCACGGGAACGCTGACCTGGCGGAGCCCTGGAGCAGCCCTCCTGAGCTCCAGGCCGCTGGGGTTGAAACATTCAGTCGTTCCCAGTGTCCTTCGTACATTCTAGAATAGAATGAAACCACCATTCAAGCATCTACTGTTGTGTAAGGAACTTCTGAGTCCAATGATATTACTTGAATAGGAAATAGTTACTTTGTATAAAAGTTTTACAGCAGAGTAGAATCTTCATGCTGTAATCAAAAAGCAATAACTTAAGATTCAGTCTTTGTAATATTATAAGTCAGAATTCTAGACACGTTAACCAAATTGTTATGTTTATTCTCCTAAGCTGCCAGCACTTGTCTGTATCTGTGGAACCAAATTAACTTTTGCTAAATGGAAATATTCATGTATCTGTATAGACAAATACCCCTTTACGTGCCAGACATACACACACTTGAACACATTAATATTAGTGTGATTTTATGTTTGAAGTTTGCAATATAGCATAAAGGACAAGTAGAATGGCACATTAAGATTACCTACCAAAGCAATGACACGTGGCTGGGATGGTGGGGAAATTCCAAACGTAGACCGGCCTGCATACAAAGGCAGAAGCAAGGCTTCACACCAAAACCAGCTACACCAGGAGGCGAAGCGGGTCACTCCCTCAGTGCCACAGAACAGCTGGAGCGGACTACAGCACCCAGGCCCTTTGGGAGCCCCCACTTCAGCTCCAGCTGCTTCCTGTGCTGCAGGACTTCTAGACCCAGGGGTGCCAGCTCTTCGAAGTCTTGTGAAATCCAACTTTTCACAAGAAGCATTCTCATTTTTCAATGTTAAGAACTGATTGAAGAAATGTTTAAACACAGCTAGTTAAGTAAACATTCCTGCAGCTGGATCGAGCCGCGAAGCTGCCAAGTTGTAGCCCCCTTCATTGCCAGAATTTCTCTCCTCTCATTGCCATCATATCACATTTGTGTGGACAGAAGCTGGGGGGCCTCTGAAGTGTGTGAACTGGGGTGCTGACACGGGTGCAGACTGAAGCGATCACCTGCTCTTCCCAACCAGCCTCTCGGTGGTAGGGCAGCCGGGACCTGGTGTGCTGCAGGCCAAGGCTTGGGTGTCTTCCCGTACATTCTGCCAGCCAACAGCCATCCCAGCAGCACCCACCCTGCTGTAATTCAACTCTGTTGCATGTTATTCCAGTGCAAGTGGACAGAGGGAGAGACAGGTGATGGAAATCAGTGACTAACTGATGGTAGAGTAGTATACCATTACCGACCCCACGGCCTAGGATTTGATTAAAGCAAATATATTTAAAATACCCAGGATACCTACCAAAATGATGTAGCGAGGTGTCTGAAACCACCCAAAGCAATCATGCATTGAACCTGATCCCCATGCACAACCAAAATAAGCGATGTTGATGAAGCAGTTAGCCTGAACAGGTGGGGGCTTCGTTGCCCCTCTTAGTACCTCTCTTGCTTTATGTGGTAATCTTAAACGTTGCATGTGCTCTTCCTTTGTTTTGGGGTTAGATTATATATATAAATATATAAAATGAGAGAGAAAGAAAACTAAGAACATTTATTTCTTAGGAAGTACACTGAATAATGTATTTCTTTTACAGTGTAACTTGGGAGTGGGGATATGCAAGAGAGATGTGTATTTTTGCTAAGTTGCCTATCTTCTGAGATAAACAAGCACAATCCTGCAATGGATCCAATAATCCAGTTAGTTATAGGTTAGTATTTAAGTTTGCTGTAGATTGTGTATGTGTGCGTGTGTGTGCTAGGAAAAACCCAGGATTTGCAGCTTTGATATTAACCCATGATGAGAAAGCTGTGTATGATAATGATGTACAACATGTAACACAGGCATTAACTGTTAGTCATTAATATTTGTAAAGCCAAATGTACCATGCAGAAATCTTCAATTTTTTTATAGCAAACTACATTAAAACAAGTTAAATCATCCCTGTCTGGGGGAGAAGAGTCTTGTTTGTACAAAACCGAGAATATTGTGCAATTTGGGCATATTTTCCCGAGGAAGGAATGGGTGGGTGGTTTAGTGGGAGCACTTGATGGTGGTGTTGAAGCACCAAGTGAAGTCTATGGACCCATCGGAGTAAAGCCCTCCCCTCCCCACCCTGCTTAACTGGAGCATCGGTTTTCCTGAGAGCTGGAAAAACCCTTCCCAGGATTCCAATCTAATTTTAAAGCCATTTGGGGGTTCTGGACATTTTGAGAAGCTGAAAGAAGCCAGAGGATTCCATCCTCAGAGAAAAGAATGTCTATGTGCTTCCCAGGCTGCAGGGACCCCGGCGCTGCCCGGGGCTGCTGGACTCCAGCTTAGTGTCCCGTCATTCCCTGCCCTCTCATTGCACATTAACTCATGTCCCCAACTTCTGGTGAGTGCTGCAGGGCTGTCTGCAGACACCAGCTGTAAGCAGACAACAGCACTTGGAGAAATCCTTCGATGCACAAAAGATGGTCAAACAGTGTGGTGGCTTACACATCTTCGATTTCAAGCATTTAAAACAGTTAATGATCATTTCAACAAACACTGGCCGTTTGCGTTTTCCCATAACAGCCTCAACTGTCAGCAGCACTGGCTTGTCAGTGTGTTTGTGTGGGATTTATAAAGATGACTCTGTTGCTCAGTACTTGCAACAGAATTCCAACTGTCTCGAACTGCTGGCTTCACAGAGGGATGCATTTTCCTAATGAGTCAGAGGGCGTCATGACTTGTTCCACAGCAGTCATTCCTAACTTAACTGCTACTGCGCCAGTTGAGAGAACTTGAGAGCCTGTCCCTCCTTTGCATGTCAGTGGCCAGCTCATTGCTAGAAGCAAAATGAGGACAGACATGGGGGTAGCCATGTTCAAACTACTGAATATAACCTGGGAAACCTGCCAGAAATAAAGATTCCTGGGGATTCAGGACCCTTTTAGAGAATCAGTGCTTCACCTTTTTGTTATTTGCCTCTGTCCTAAGGAAACCTGAGCTCCTAAAACTCATGTACGACAAGGTCAACAGCACGTAGAGGCGAGAGCGGCTTCTTGGGCTCCCGGGTGAACGGCTTCACGTGTACATGACCCTCCCAGTCCCCACCTGGCTGCTGTCAGCTCCCGGCAGCCCGAGCACTGAGGAGGTGCTGGAGGACTGGAGATTTACACAAGGGCCCTTAGCAAGTGACAGCGGGACTTAAACCAGTCGAAAGACAATGCTACAACAAACATCAAGATCTTAGCTGGCTTTATGTGCAAGTCTAGAATTCCATGAAAGCAGAATGAGTGTTGAGATGGGCGGAGCAGGTTTTCAGGCTGAAGAAAACAGCCACACCAGAGAGCAGGCTGGTTGCTTCCGTGTGGGGACTGAGGGAACAATCAAGGCTGATTGGTTAAGATCAGGCTACTGTTTTAGTAAGGGTAAAAACAGAGGGGCCTCCATGATTCTGCTGGGTAAACCAGGTCTAGTTGGGAAATGTTGATCTGTCTCCTGCCCACCCTGAGTGTAGATAAAGGTCGTTTCATTGAGTTGGGTTTTTTGTTGTTGTTGTTACTTTGGTCTGTGTGGCCCTGGTGCAGGAGGCTCAGTGAGCGACTCAGAGGGCCAAGGTGGGGCTCAAGGTGAGTCTGAAGCTAGAGCAAGTCCCAGAAGCCCTGCTGCACACAGCACATCCTGCCCACAGTGAGACTTGGATGATCAGAGCTTTCAGACTTCGCCTAAGCCTTGAGACCTCGATCCTCCTCCTCCTCCGACAGAAGCAAAACATCTTAATGAATTCCCCCTCCACCCCTCCCCCAAGGGTCTGGAGATGAGTCAGAAAGCCAGGCAGCTATTAAGACGCAAGTTCAAACCCATTCCTTGCCCTCAGGGTACTCTCAGTCTAGGTGGGGAAGCAATACCTCAACACTTACAGGGCCCTGATTCCACAGCTCGGAAAGCCACAGGGAGGAACTGGCCAGCTGCTGCTTGGTGGCTCTGAGGGGACAGGGCTGTTGGTGGGCAGGAAAAAGGCTGGCTAGAGAAGGAACTGAGGTCTTCACCGCTGAGTGGTGCTTTCCTGGACCTGCACAGTGGCTCAGCATGACTAAGGTGAGGCCAGAGACAGTGACATCAGGAGCCCTCAAGAACTGAGGACCCTTGTGAAGACAGACACCGGGCGTGGTTTCTGCTGGGGCTGGTAGATGGAGCCCCTAGACACAACTGTGCAGGTTGACCAAGGACCCAGGCACCAAAATGCCACGTTCCCCATCAGCCTCCTCTCATCCCCCCAGCCCTTGGGCACAGCCCCTCAGACCCTGTAAGCAGGTGAGGAAGCTGAGAACTGAGCGCAAGTCTTCAGGGCACGCTTGCGAGTGACTTCCTCCCTGGGGGGCTCTGGGAGCAGCTTCTGGCTGTGGAGCC